CTGCAGCTAAACTATCACCTAGACACGAAAGCCGACTTGCTGAAGTGCACAACTCCTCCGCTACTTGTGACACCTGAGCGCAAGCTACAGTACTTACTTCCCACAGAAAGCACCTCGTCCCCGCACACCTGCCGGACCGCCGGCCTCCCTGCCTCACCTGTGCGAGCTCGGTGACGTAGCCTGCCGGCGGTGCGCTCCCTGAGTTTTTAATTGGACCGACCTGGAGCCTGCAGTTGGCGGAGAAATCACCTGTGGAGTTCTCACACGGGAAGAGCGCAAAAAAAAAAACCCTTCATCAAACGCGACCACTCGTGTGTGTGCGAGAGGGAAATGTGTCGATGTGTACATTGTGTACATTCGATATGAACCGAGCCTGTGCGTTGTCTTTCCTTTTAGATATACTTGATGCTGAACTGTGAAAGATGTAAAAAAAAAAAGATTTGTACCTCTGAAAGATCATGTCTCCTTAAACCTTTGATTCCCTAGCCTTTTAAATAAGCTGCTTTCTAAGCCGTCGATACCTTCTTGGTTTAAAGATAGATTAGCTGTATTTGCATTGTACTTCTGATTTCTGGAACAAAATTCGTTGTATTACAACTATGAATCGCTTAAATGATGCACCGTTCGTGCCTGGGACAAACATATTTTATTTTTCCCACTCAAGACGTAAATTAAGAAAAAAAAACACCATATTACAAGCTCACACCAGTACTTTACGATAAAAGCCATCACATCTGATGGATGAATTGCTGTACTAGGAAATACCGAACAAAAAAAAAACTTCGTCGGGAAGTACGGCCCCCTTGTCAGATAAAATGTTTTTTATATATATATACCGAGACATGTGCTTCAATACATGCGCGCTTCTGCCCCTCCAGAGACAGACAGCGTCGCAAGGAATTTCTAAAGAAACGGCATTTTCTCCCTCCTACATCCTACGGTTGCTTTTGTGTGTGGAGCGGGAACGACAAAGAACGGAATACATTCGAGCACAATGGAAGTCTTTCATCTGCTGTTGAAGCTACTTGAATTGTAAAGGGGGAGAAAGTTGGAGCACACATCAGCTCAATGTGCTCGCATTCTCGGGCAAAGTGAGAATCCTGCACAGATCAGCTGAGCAGTCCCCTAGCGCCGTAACCTGCGATTGACAGCGCACTGAGGGACCCGAGATCTTGCTTTTAACGAAATATCAATTCAGATCTTAAAAATAGTTGTGCTCGCCCTTATTGCCGATAAAACTCAATTCTACCGATGCACTGAGGAATATTAAATGAAAGGTTTCCAAACACATAAGACATGGCAAAACGTATTGTTATTTTTTTTTTGGTATAGAGGTTCAGAATGAGCAGAAGCAACATCACACAAGACATGAGCTTGGATATTACGCCACGCGTGTGTGTAATATTAGACCCAGGATGGTCTAATATTTTCAGATAAGGAAATGGAAAAGATTACATCAGACCAGGATATCTGACTGCGGAGTCAGGTTATCCGTTTACGAAAAACAATTAAAAAAGGGCACGTACTGATATAGATATCTTTCCTTTCTGGACCAAGTCAAAAATGTTTCCTATCATCTCAGCTAAAAGCAAATAAGACTTCAACAGCCACAGCAGCAGGTTAGTTTGTTTTCATTGAGTTTGTCTTTTACTGCTTCAATGTATAAACATTATATATAAAAATACTATTGGAGCTGTAAATGAGATTTGTTTTTAAAATATGAAAATATGGAGGTGTTTCAAGAAAATGATTCCCTCTTTCATACCAGAAAGCATTTTAGAGACTTTTTGGTCTTTTCGAGCGTTTCAAGTGATGTCCAGAATCAACTCTGGTGTCCTCTCTCATGGTCTGCTAACGGGCAGGGCAATGTTTTTGGAAAGTGAACATGAGTAAAATGAAGCAGGCGTAACTGTTTGCCCTGAAAAAATTAAAAATGCCGTCTTTGAGATAGAGAGCTGACCATTTATGAGTTGATTTGTTTTCTCCTTAAAGCGGTTTCTAAGTACACAGGACCTTGCGCTGGACTGGTAGTCCATGCACCATATATAAAAAAAAGATGACTTCTTATCTGTATGTCTGCGATGGATAACCAGTGCATGCCTGAACTAGTCCTGGCGGCAATTAACAAACAAAAAAATAATCTGTTGCAAACGTTACCCTTTGAACGGCACAAGTACTGTACAAGCAGCTAGGAAGCTGAGGAGTGCTGCTGCAGGCCATGTTCTGTACTGTAGGTATAAAACAGTGTGGGGAACACAGGGCAGCGATGAAGGGGGCAGGGTGGACCCTGCCTCGCTAGGATGGGTTTTGGCTGCCCTATGAAAGCAGTTAGAAATTGGATAGATAGATGAAATTTAGGAAGCTTAGCAAATACATGTTTACAACCTGTCAGGTAAAAGCCTTTACTGTGATAAAGAAAACCGTGCTGTTTAAATGTCATTGATGGCAAATAAGAGTTGAATCTGTGATGCTTCCCCTCTTATGCTGAGAATCGAATTTTCCATTATACAGATTTTTTTGTTCCCGTACAGGGAACTGTCAGTATGAATGATAATACTGGACATGGTATACTGTGCTATTCTTGGAATATGAAGAAAAATGTTGTCCTCCCTGTTGAAATACACACAACCTTTTAGAGAAGTTTGTGGTAAGACTCTTTATTTTTAGGACTGAGGGTCCGACCCTCAGTGAGGGTCTGTTATACAGGGTCATGACATGAGGCTCATGTTATACAGTGGTGTCTGGAGTAAAGGAAGGTAGAGGGCAGCGTTCAGAGCCTGGTGATCTTTTATACAGTATCAAAGGTAGAACTGGGTGCAACACAATACTGAGAGCTTCATGTGGAGTGGCTCTGTCATCACAAAATGCAATTCTGTTTCTTATGTTTCAAATTCACCAGAATCATAAATCAAGACACAACGCATGGTGCAAATTCTGTATCTCACTGCCTTGTTATAGGAGATTTCTAACTATGTTGAGTGATTTAGGTAATGTTGAGAAACAAACATGAATGAATTTCACAGTGAATTGATATAGACTATAGTAATACGTCGTGGACAGTGTGCAAAATAGGCATATAAAGTTATTCTGTTCATAGAATGCTAGACTCAACCAATTAATGCTAACTCAACCCATGGTTTTGTGCAAAAATCGAATGCAATTTTTGATACTCCTTCTTATTTTGTTTTGTAATGATTTTGATTGTGCTCATTATAGTGGGATCTTAGCTCAGCCTAGGCACAAAGTTAGATTTCAGTTTGCACCAGACTGGCCCGTGTCATCTTCTGTGCTTTGTCCAGAGCAGGGGCCGCAGGCACAGCTGTCTCTCCTGGGCTGTGTTCACGGCCTCACAGGAGCTTCCCAGCTCAAACTGCCCCTTACCTCTTCAGAGAGTGACGCCGAGTTCCACTGCCTTACGCCAGATGTCCTGGCCTCCTGTTGCAGGAGAATCCGAGGATATCGAAGTTCCTGGCGGATTATTCCGCCAAACAGGGCTCAAGGACTGAAAGAACCCCAGCTATGGACAATCTGTGTCTTGTTCAAGGCAAACAGTGACAATCATTTTACATATTTTTTTTAACATGAGATGCAATTTTCCCCAGCTGGAAGAAAGGTTTTCTTTTGAGTAGAAGATCAAAGATACTTTTCAAGATCTTTCCAAATAAAGAAAAAGCAACAAAACAGTTATTGCTAAACTCAAAGTGTCAAGAGAAACTGGTCCACCAGCACTATCTACAGCAGTAAACTGGTTTTCCATATAACTCTACAATCCCAGCACTGAATAAGCCCAACAGTGCTTATCCTGGGACAAGATCATGCCCCAGTGTAGCGATGTGATTGTCTTATAAGTGAATATTGTCAGCTTGCTAATGGAACCAGTTAACCAAGTTCTCCAAGGCTGTCAGGTGCTCCTGCAATAAAGAGACCCAGAAAACCTACAGACGTGCTGGCCCTTCACACACGGTGTTGGACCACTGCCTTTTCGGTCATCAACCCTGAATATTATTTCATAATAAGACAACTTAACCTACACTTGCCAAAACTGATCAATTAGATCAATACAGATACTGGAGCACTCAGTCTGCGATCCTCCAGGACCAGAGACACATCCATTCATTACAACCATTACAAGGAAGACTAAAATATTTATGATTTAAATTAGATTTTTGTTTTAGACAAGAAAAAAAAAGTTTTCAGATTCACAGCTGAAAATTCCCTTACAGTGCATACTGTCTCAGCTCAGCTGTAATTTCCTTAGGGACAAGAATGGTTTTCCTTCAGTGTTTACAGCCACTTGCTTGGTGTTTTGTGTTTGACTTTGAGGTGGTTGGGCTTGGTATTCTGAAGTGCACTTGGGAGAATTCCTGAAGCTACGGTAAAACAAATCACCAGGGTTAAATCTGAGGTGGTGGGCTAACAGTTTTTCCCCTGAATGTGTGAAATTAAGGGTTGAAGAATGCTGAAGTGAAGATTATGTCCTGCAGCTACAGGATTTTTCTGGAGATCACAGTCATGTTTAGATCTGTAGAAAGATTGTGCACAGACTGCAACAGGATTAAAAGAGCTCCGCCTAGAAGACCAGCAGATTCCAAATTCTCTCTCTAATTTGGTACAAACTGTTTCATTTGAAATCCTCTGCCTACTAATACCTACAGTTCTTACACTGAATGTAAAGAATGAGAATTACGGTAACCTGATATTTTCTGCTTTTTACAAAAGCAAAAATTCAGAAACCTTACCAGGAATAATAATTAGGGGGCATTTATTCACACAGAGATCTGCGGGATTCTGGAACAAATTTCCCAGTCATTTTGTTGAAGTCAGTACCCTGGCTTCTTTCAAGAAAGGGCTGACTGTGAACCTTGGAGCTACTAACTACCAAAAAGAAGTCCTCCTCTCTTTTTCTTGTGCTCTTAAGTGTCTTTTAATGACAGATGGATATTATCTCATTATCTCAGATGTTATGCTTGTTAAAAAAAAATGATTCAATCAGGCATCTATGAATGCTTTAAGCTTTATTAGAAATGTACAAAAAATTGCTAAATATAACCAGGATAATCAAATAGAGCAAAACACCTTAGAAAACATTAGTATACTGTACTACCGATGAAAGGGCTTTAAATAACACTGCCCTAAAATCTAGGAAGCACAGGAAGAAATAAGGCTGCAAAATACTTTTAAGACGTTTAAAATAATACTGTATTGGCTTGCAGCTGGCTTTAGGAAGTTGTATTTTCTACATATTTACACCTCATTGGGTTCAAACTCAGCAGGCCTGATCTTCATTACAACAGATCTGATAGAGTACCACCATCCATGCCATGTGTACCAGATAATCCCGTTGTCGGAGACTGCAGTGTAGGGCCCCTTGTAGTAGTGGCCATTCAGGTTGACAGAGTGACATCTGGAGGAAACATGTGGAACAGCACGTCAGTAAAAGGCTGGTCAAGCCCACAGTTACTGGTACGCGCAAGCGTAACAAACCTAATAGTAGATTAAAAAAAACAAAAACGTTTTTCTTTTAAATCCTAAACCATACAACTGGGTCAATGTTGTATTCCACAAAAACACCACCAAATCTAAAACATCAAAACATCCTTAACAGAATGTTGCTTACCATGCATGTTAGAGGAATATATCCAATAAATACATATCCAACACTTTAATTGAAACTAACTTCGAAGGCAGCAAGGTTTAAAATGGAACAATAATATCAGCCATAGTTTCATTATATACTGTAGCTGCGTGAAAAAAAAATATCGAAAGCCATTCTCCGTCTTCACCGCGGGTGATCTTGGGGTTTCCTGGTTATGTAATTGCTGAACTGTATTCCGTGTACTCATGCCTGAAGCGGGATACTGCATTCCCAGTTTAACTTTGATCATATTAGTATTTGCTTTATGTACTTAGTGACAATAAGCAGTCATGCAACAGAACTCCCACAGCTGCCGTCTACTGCACAGTGCCAAATACCTGTTGAACCACCAGCCAGCCGTGTCCTCCTGAGCGCAGCTGCCCTCGTAGCGGTCGTTGTCCCTGTCGTAGGTGCTGAAGTTCATCCCGTTGTGACCCGCCCACCACTGCACCTCGGGGTGGTACCTGCCCGACAGCGAGTCCCCCGCCGTCCCGGAGTATTCCCCGAAACTGAGCCGGTACAAGCTCTGAGGGAACAGCCGCGCACAACCAACAAGCTTCGCAGAGCACAATTCTGGACGACTCGCTTTATGGCAACAAAATCGTGCTGAGGCTTATCGGCGACAGCGGACCGACAGCTTCGGAACACCGCTGTTCGCCACTGCACGGGACATGCTGGTGTCTGGATATAAATATCCTGTGATCCCTTTCCTCACCGTACTTCAGGTTATTGGTTTCTGAAGCATGAACACGAACAGGGTGCTGAGCCATCTCAGTAACCTAGGTGCCTTTTCCCAGTCCGAGCATGTCAAATAGCATTTAATACACACAATGTCACTTTCATGAAACAAACGCATCCGTTGCTGTTGTTCAGGTGGTAGAAGCTGATTGAGAGGTGGAACTGTGTTTAGAAATATCACCTGGTTAAAAGTCATTGACTAAAACCAGTGGTGCTACTTTACTGTACTGGGAAATCTTCATACTGTATAAAAATTGTATGTAATACCCTCCGAACGCAGAGCCACATACAAGGGGAAAGAAAAACCCTGATGTACTTCATCGCACCATGACAGGTCTTATCACAACTGCCTGTCATCTGTTTGCAGAGTTGCTCTGCTTCGTGTGTCACTTTCTCCCGCAGTCAGAGTGCAGATGTTTCATCCATGCTTTTCCAGCCCTGCTCTCAGCGATGGAGTGACCTGGGAGTTGAAGAGCTGACTCTGAGAAGTCATCCTGATTTGAAGAGCTGATTGTGGGCAGTACGCAAACCTGTAAGGCTTTTCTCCTCCTGTGCTCATTTATTCTGGGTTTACCTAGATAAGCCACTGAGAACATATCCTTATTTATTGAAAACACAGCCTCTACTGGAGCGACATGAATGAAGGGCCTTGCTCTGGGGAACAACAGCCACTGCCCAGCTGAAACTGGACCCACAGCCCTCTGGTCCAGAGCCCTGACCACTGTCCCTTGCTGTAGTGGCCACAGCAGCTTTCTAGCAGGACTAACAGATGTTTGAACCAAAGACAAAACAAAACGGAAGAGTCCTTCATGAGAGACACCTCCCACGTCTCTGGTATCCCATTACATGAAAAGCAGACATTGTCCCTCACTCCTATAATAACTTTCTGGCATGTGACAGATATTCTGTATGTTTGCAACTTAAAATATTTTGTCTTCCCATACAGAACATTACATATTTTTCCAGGAATATACTGTATGTAGCGTTTTCAAGATCCCCCCCCCCCAAGATATTAAATAGCCATACAACAGGGTTCGTGTTTGTAAAGTGTCTGTCCTGTGAGCAAGCATTTTTCACTTTGTCATCTTACTACACTACAATAAATACATAACTAGGCTCACTGATAGAAAAGCCATTAGTGCTGTGAACCCTTTGTTTCAGCATTTGTCCTAAATTTTCACTCTCTGCTGAATCCTACTGGGTTTTAGCTACCAACCTATTCCAATCATCTCCCTGCTCCAGTTTCTCCCTGCTCCAGAAATGATCTTTTTGATCTATAATGAGGTTAAATAGTAGAGAAGTATCATTTTCCATACCTGTTCATCTCCGACTTTAAAATTCCTATAGATGGCAAACCTCTGGTCACCTTCAAAGTCGATCATGTTAATTCTCAGATTGTAGTTTCCTAGGAGACAAGCACGCGATGGTGTCTTACTGCTGTGCATTTAAAAAAGAAGCTGAGGGAATGTAAAAAACAGAACCTGCATACTCATATCATGGCACGCTTTTCCTTCAGGTGGGAATAGGACACAGTGTTCGGACAGGCAGTGTGGACAAGACAACTGTAAGCACAATGAACTTCTTATTGTGGCAGAAAAAAAACAAACACGTACTATATCACAGTTTCAAAGAACCCAAGCAGGTCCAATAATCGAGTGCATTGCTCCGGTAGCTGAAACCTCATCCCCTGTGGGGACAATACCAGCGCTCAATATCCTCAAGGGCATCAACAATGTCAGCCCAGAAAGAGCAGAGAACCCAAACCAGAGGGCCGAAGAGTCCACTGGGTGGAAGCACATTCACAGGCAAGAATAGGAGGTTATGAACAACGATGTGTCTCGTTTTAGCTTGGCATCAGTGTGAATCTGCGTCTTGCAGTGGAGGCATGTGGGTTGATGTCAGACGGAGGAGGAATAAGCTCGTTCAGATCTGCGCCCCGGGCAGCTGCTGGGGTGAAGAAGGCACCCACTCTACAAAACGCCTGGCCTTTCACAACACGCGACGTCATCCGGCAGCAGGAGACATGCAGGGAACCAGGCCAGAGTCACCTTTGGCCCAGATGAACATTTACACGTGGTCTTAACCAGCACTGGGACAATGATCGCCCGAGAGAGAAACACTGCGAAATCGCGGAGAGACGGTGTGAGACTAGAGGTTCCACTCCCAAGCAACTCGTGCGCAAGCTGTTCTGAAAGCAAAAGAGCAAGTTATGAAACTGGTCTTGTCTTTAATGTATAACTCTGCCCGCATCCCACCCTGATCGGACACTCACTTCTTCCCCGGTTAGAATCACGGCGAACTGGAATCTACCCTCATAGCACAGGCTGGAGATGGGACCTGTGGTCACACACAGTAGTTGCTAAATTTTGCTCTTTTGTTCTTGATGTTGAAGACACACACAGACAATCTCCAGGACACGTATCCTCTTTGAAACAAGAGGGGTCAAATTCTCAGAACAACAAGTTACCAACAAGTAGGGCCCATTCTCTCAGAAAGTGCAGTTTTGTATTCGTGTAACAATCATATAAAGTTATCTTTTTTTATAAGCTTTAATAATTGTAATGGAATTTTCTTTTAAATTCTAAAAATTTTCCTTAACAACTGGGAAAAACTGTTAAAAGACTTTTAGTTGAAACCAATATTAATGACCTGTATGGTCGCAGGAAATAATTAGCATGTCTGATGACAGACATCGACAATCTTTAATCCCCAGATGTTGCAAATCCAGCTAAGGAAATCGTTTACTAACAGAACCGAAGGGGTGAATTAGGTGTGCACCTGTGGTTACTGTAGATTAACGGGGTAACTTTAATGTTACCTCAGCGCTCTATCGATTAAAAACGATGCACTGTTAGAACGTCTTCTTAGGAATTATTGAAATGAACTGCTGTGTATAATAATTTACCTTGCACTCACCTTGGGAGGTTAAGGAATGCAGTTTGTCGTTTCCTAACCAGAATTCTCCATCTGCAGAAAGCGTGTTTCCAAAGCCTTCTTTATAGTCTTTCCAGGGTCTAGGTTAAAACACAGCCAGCACAAAACCCGGAATCAATCTTAAATCTGTCTGCCTACAGTATGTGGAAAACAACATCGAAAAGACTATTTCTTATTTTCCGCTCTTTTGTAATCGCGATCCTCTCGCCCTGGTGTGAGATGTGCGTGTTTGTGTTGAGGAGCGGGGAGGTCCCAAGCACAGTTTGATGGCGAAGGGTAGCTCAAGCTCAGGGTGTTCCCAACCTGTTGAAGGACTCGCTGCCGTCGGTGCGTCTCTGGACCACAGCCCAGCCGCCTCCCTCGCTCATGTCGCAGTAGACCAGGAAGTCGGACGGAGACCGAAGGGGTTTAATCCGGTAGAACCCACTCCTCCTGTTCCCGGCGTTGAAGACCTGGGCACAGTCTGAGCACGGGTTTTAAATAAAACACATTTAATTTAAAAAAAAAAATTATTGTTTTTTCATTGGTTTATGAAGTCGTGAACACCTGAAGAAGGCTCCCGACACCTGAAGAAGGCTCCACGGCCGAAACGTTGTGTTCTCTTCTTTTTTTCAGCATGGAATAAACCTAATACTTGTTCCTTTGCAGCCTACGCATGCTGACGCAGCTACCCACCTTCATTGGTTTATTACAAGCTATAATAATTAAGGGATACAGGAGGCGTAGAGTAAAGGAGCCCCTATTGCTGGGACATTGAAGAATTTTACAAAACAGCACACGCAGAACATTGTCGGACTGAAAAGGTTTGTTATGTGCAGGTGCGTGCAATTGTTAAGAGACGGTTTATGGCATATCAGATCTGTTAAAGCGGCTAATTAATCACCTTTAAAAATAAATATAACGTATAATGAATGTTTCACACATATCAGAAAATCAGGCGACTGAATTAATTTACAGCCACTGGTAATTACATTTTAACCTAGATAGCCATAGTGGTGTAATAGGCGGCTAATTCTTCGAATAAGATGAAAAGGCATATTTTTAAAAATGATCAAACCTAACACTGTTTCAATACACGCATCTTCAGGTGCGAAGATTCGCACACATGTCTGTGCTTACTAAAACCACAGGCTAAATGCGGCCAGACATGTGAAAATATCGATTTAAACCATGCCTTGACAACTCGTAAGTTATCGCAGGTGACGATAACTTCTATTATACAAAACAATATCAAAAAGATGCATTTATAATTCGTACGCATACGCAGTCATATCCGTACTGATGTTTACAAAGATGGAATAAGATCTTTTTGTTCAGTAGAGCAGATCTTCTGAGTGATTAAATAATTCCAATTTCAGCACTTCAGTTATTTCCTAACATGGAAACCACACCTAATATGCCATTATTCGGTGATTAGACCTTTCCTGAAGTGCGGTGGCGACTACTCCAGCTAAGCTGACGCGAGAATCACACCAGTTTCTTGGAGAACAGCGCAAAATCAAACAAAACCACCATTAGTGGTGGTGGAGGGGAGTCCCCATTACCTGTAAAGCGCTCTGAGTGGAGTGTCCAGAAAAGCGCTATATAAGTGTAAGCAATTATTATTATTATAATTATAATTATTATTATTAAGACAAAACAACAACACGCAGCCACGTCTTTCCAGTGGTTGCGCCCTTATCTGTCTAAAACAGACAGGAGTGTTCTGGTTTTCTCCAGAAGAACGATACTGAGATCCGGGTAGCGGATGGCGGATATCTCTGCTCCCCGCCGCGGCGTGGAGGAGCCGAGCCCCAGACCTGCGAAGCCCGCCTGTCCCGCTGGGTTCGGGCTCTGCTCGGCCGCCCTGTGCTGCCGCTGGCCGCGGAGCTGCTCCACCTGCAGCCGCTGCTGCCCGATCCGCTGCTCCAGGGCCCGCACCTGGGCTCTCAGCCTCCGCCGCTGGCCGGGGCAGTCCTCGGGAGCCTGGGGGCGCAGCGAGGGAAGAGACAGGACAGACAGCACCGGCTGAAACCCGGCCTCTCCCCCCCCGGCCATTGCGAGGCGCCAGCGCTGAGAGGGGGGGTCGGAGTATTTATGAGGCGAGACTTATTACTTAACTGATCTAAGCATCATCAAAGACCCCACACACCCCAGCTACAGACTGTATGACCCTCTACCGTGTGGAAAACGGTACCGGAGCATTTGGGCCCGGACTACCAGACTCAGAGACAGTTTATACCCCCGCACTTTCAAACTATTAAACTCCCAGCCTCTCTCACCTCTGATCTGAACCTCACAGTGCCTTCTTTCTTACCAAAAACTCAAACACACATTGAAATCTACCTCTACCTCACATGTCAAAAGGCTCACTCCCCATCATTTTCTATCCTTTTATTTCGATCTGTTGATGCATGTTTTTGCACATCTGATGTCGTTTTGCACACTGCCTGTTGTCTCTTTCTTTTCTTATACAATTGTATTGTTGTTTTTTTGTACTACTTATCGTGTGAGAGCTGGCTAAATAGCATTTCGTTACACCATATACCTGTAGATGAGTATAATGACAATTAAACTTGAACTTATTACTGAACTGCGATTGTATTTTGAAGTTGTGGACCCGCGGCGACAGCACAAACATGCCCAGAATCAAAAGTCTCGCCCTGCTAGCACTACAAATAACGGCGAGCACGGCGACACCGATCATAATAATAAAAAAATAAGAATTACAGTCACTTTTAAAACAGACTTCAGCTACACTGTAATGTGTTCCAATGCAAAGGCAAATGGGTAAAAAGTGTGTGATTTATTAGAACATTTTGTGCAAGCAGAAACCTTTTCCTGCTTCGGTTTCGGCTTGTGTGACTGCCTGTGCTGACCACATGTTATTGTTTGCGCGTAACAGCCTTCTTTTATGTAACTTTTTTTTTTTTTTCTCCGTGAGACGCTTCTTTTATTCCACAGCAAGCGACCTGCCCCGGGAAACCGGAAGCCTGTGGATGGGCTCAGTGAGGGCCCTCTGCCCGCTGGGAACACAAGGTTTCAAAAGCGCTTCACCTGGTGGCTACTGTCGGTCATTGCACGCAGTTTCCTTATTGTGAAGCGTTTAAAATAACCCTGTACTAAAACCACCATCCAAACGCACGTTGGGAACACTGGGTATTTTGACCTAAGCAATATTGTACACACCTGTGTCTATGGAATGGCACATATGACCTATTATTACATATATGTTATTGTAAGACAGTCCAAGAGCAAGTCATGACAGGGCACCGAGAGTATGCATGGAAAAGGGTTTTGAAGGGAGCGCTGAAGGTGAAACACGGTCTTCTAACTTTTCAGCAACTATATAATTAAGTAAATGAAAAACGAAAATAAAAGAGCAGATGAAAAGGTTGTGGTAAAATGTAAGAGATCTTTATGGCATTATGAATAGAGAGCTCATTTCCTAAGATGCTCTTGGACAGAACTACATTCAGACACAATATTGAAGGGAACAAGCAGGTACAAAGTCTGTTTAAAAACTGAATGGCAAGCATAAAATATAAAGCAAAAAAATATTCAAAAAAAAAACAGACTTAGACAAAGCCAAATCCGAGGTTTATGTACCCAAAATCTCTGAAAATGAAAAAAAACTGACTACTGATGATAGTCTGGAGGATAATTTATACTTTTTAATGTCTGTTACTTACCGACACACATAAATTCCCAAAGAAAACCATTCCCAACGCAAAGGGCCAAAATATTTTCATTTCTGCCCCCTTCCAGTTCTTCTTGAAATTCTGCAATTCTCTGTCGTGGTGGTTTCACGAAACTGTCTTGCTGGAGCTGCTTTGAAGACGAGATGTTCCTCTCTGCAGCTGCCCGGCTCTTCTCTCTGGCTGGAGAACAGCTGGGCTTCTTCCCCGAGTCCAGAACGCTCCGACCCCCCCACTCCAGCAGTGTGGATACGAGGGTGAGTCAGGGGGGAGGAATGCTGGGACTGTCGGGATAAACACCATCGCACTGCCACTCTTTAGGAAATCAAGCAAAACACAAGTGTAACATGAAAATAGTGTACAACTCTACTCCCGAAAAGCTCTCAGAAAATGTTGCTATGAACTGAAGTTACTGTGTAGCGTACACAGTCTACTCCAGTAAACAATATACAGTATGTTACTTAGGAAAATAAATCTTTACACAGTAGCATGTTGTGTCACTGTTTTTTTATGGTTAAATTAAGCCACAGCCTTGAGGAAACACTAGGTTGTTATTGAACCATATATATTCAAGCTAGCCTTTTCTTGACCCTACATCCCATGACATCCAAAGACATCCTATTCGCTGTTTTGAGGGACACTGCTAAGACACTCACTGCCCCTGAAGAGCTCCAGGTAGATACAGCACAGCTCTGTCACAGGGCTGACAGTAAAAGCACCACTTCAAGAATGCAGCAGAACAAGCCACTACCAACCAGGGTGAAGCACACTTCTTTCTGAATTCAAGTCTCGGTCAAGCAAGTATAGGTATTGCAGAACAACTGTTTGTTAAAGGAGAATTAAAGAAAACACCCGAAAGACGTTAAAACACTTCAACAAGTAGATCGACTGGAGATCTTTTCTGGCTTCAGCACTCTTACTGCAAGTCATGTTTAAAAAACGTCACACTACGCAATCACAAGAAAGACACTCTGGACTCCGGCACCAGGAGGCTGTGCTGGTCAATAGGGATCACATAAGTGTCTCCTGTGTGCTTGTGACCTCTGTGATGGACTTGTTCCAAGGCCAGCGACCTTCCGTGAGCCCTGTGCGTGTCCGTTCAACGGGCTTTCAACTCCTACTGCGTCCCGCCTGCCCGAAACAAAGTCTCTGGGGTGCAGGGCGTACAAAAACAAGTCCAGATTTACAATATTGTGAAATTTGTCAAGGCTGGGGGAAAAAATCTCCATGCAAAATTAAATATGTCGATAAATCAGGGAGAGGGGCGCTAAGCAGGGGAGCTGTTGTATCGTCCCTTGGTCATTTTTTTTTTGTTTTTTAGGTACCACCCTCTCGATTAGCATAACGAGAAACGGATAACGCCGGGGTGAAAGCCAAAGAGGAAAGAAAAATAGCCTAAATTAGACTTTTACGCAAGGAGGTCGCCGCGGCGATAGTCCGAGGTGGGGTGAAAGTTTGGTGCATGTCATACCGGGACAGCAAAGAGAGGAGCTTGAGGGCTAACTGGGATTAAAGAGCGCGGCAGCGGTCTTTGTAGTGCATCGAGCCCGGCTCGCGGTGCCAGCAGCTCCCACCGTCCTCCTGCGCTCTTCCCGGCACGTTCCAGCCCGCAGCGCCTAGCAACGTGACCCCGCACAACCCCTCGTCACCTTCCGAGCAAGCAAATAGGCCCGGCCACCCGTTCACAGATACCTTGGTAGCGTCAGGATTGCCGTTGTGTGTGTGTGTGTGTGTTTTTTTATCACTTGAACGCCTCATGAGGTGTTTACTGGAGCTCTCTGAAGGCGCAGTGAATAACCGGCCCCGAGTCTCCCGTGTTGGCCAACTGGTCGCTATTGGTAACGGTGTATCCCTGCGCTTGCTCGCTTCAAACAGAAGAAAACATGGCGGCCGAGCCAGTGCGACTGCTGGCCTGGAGGCGCCGGGAGCTGCTATTGTAAATCGGCTCAGTCGAGGCGGGTTTTAAAACGAGCGTTAGTGCCCCCCCCCTCCACCACGGAAGGATAGAAAAGGAGCCCCCCCCGCCTTCCGCGTCGTGGATTAGATGGTTTCAGGTCCGGACGAAGGTATCAGGAGTCCGTGAGGTAATGCGTCCTGACGGGACTCTGGCTCGGCTTGTGTTGTGTTGTTGAGGAATGAAAGTGGGGGAAACGGCGAGGCAGCGGTGCGCAAAGGCTTTGTGATACAAGGACCGTGTGCGCTTGTGTAGCAGCGCCGTGCAGGCTTGCTCCTGCGGGAATGTGGGAGAAGGATTGGACCGGGGCTCTGGCGGTGGCTGGCACCGGGCTGCCCGGGGGGTTCGGCGCGTCTCTGCGGGCTTGCGGTCCTCCTCGGCTCTCGGTGCGCTGAGCCAGCCCTGGGTCCTGGCTTTAACTGGGATAGGGTGACAGCTGCCCAGCCCCGGCACGTCGGGCTGCTGCTGTTTGAGAAGAGACCCCGAACACCCGTAGACGCGCCGGGCCTGCGGGACCAGACCGGACCGGACCGGGCTGGACCGCCCCGGGAGGGAGCTCCCAGTGACGGACACAACACGGGCCGCCGCTTGGGTCCGTGTGGCAGCCCCCCCCGTGTCCCAGCCCGGCGGTTGTGGCGCTGCAGCTGCCGTTTCGCCCTTAGAGGTCTCCGGCCTGTCTCTCTGCTGCCCGCCGGGTCTCCACGGCAACCGGCCCCCGCCGCCGATATCGCAACACAACGAGCCCGCGGCCCAGCTGCCCGCCGGGCAAACGGAGGCAAAACCGGGGGGTTTGGGGTTTGGGGGACCTAAGGGTCATTTTAAATCGCTTGTTAAAACACTCCAGCGGTCCGCGAGTCGGAAAGAAACGGTCTCTGCGAGTTCACCCCCCCCGCCGGCGCTGAAAGCGGGCCCGGACCGCCGCGCTGGCCGGGACGCGGCTTCGGGGCGCTTGGTGGCGGGCAGGGGAGGGGCGGGCCGGGCCGGGGGGTGTGCAGGTGGGAGAGGGGGAGGGGGGCGGCGGTTTTTGCCGGTAAAAGTAGCGGGTCTTTTCGGCGCGGAGCTTTCTCCTCCTCCTCCTCCTCCTCCTCCTCCTCTCCCTGAGCAAACTGTCGTTGCTCAGTGCGCCTCTGGTAGCAGGTGTCCCCCAGAAACCTGGGCTGAGCGCCTCGCCGTCACCCGGGTGCCGCAGGTAGGCTGGACTGGTCGGATGTGTTACCTGGGCTGAAGCGGGGATGCGGTCCTACCGCTTCTCCCTGCTCTTCTGGGGGACGGGGGACGGGACGACTTAGTGGGCTGTTTTCTGTGCATTTCCCTTGGCAGCGCAACCTGAGTATGGCGTAGGCGAGGGCGGAGGGGTTAAACCCCCCCCCAAAAAAAATTCTAAGTTTTACTTTTTGAATTCCGTCAAAGTTCTGAATCGTTCAAAATCGGCTGCAAGCAGGTAACTGTCTTGACAGGTGAACCGCCTGGCTTTTGACTCGGCCGGTATGGGATCCGTTTCGTGGGGCCGAATGCGTGCGGTCTCGGCGGATTTCACTTGCGTGGGCTGGACTTGCAATCCGTGTGTTCTGGCGTCGTTCCCACGCAGAGCTGGCTTAGCCCCGTGCTCATCCATTCAAACCCCCCCCCCCCTTCATTTTAGGTGCGTTGCTTTGCAGGTGTGCTTTTCACCCGTGCTTCTGGCTTGAAACGCTGGCTGTTACTGTGCATTATGTATACTGTATAGAATCACCAAATAGCTGTTGTGTTCAGGGCAGTCTGTTACCAGAGGGTTTAGTCGTCGTCAGGAGGTTTGATACGGTTGAGTTTTTTTTACAGGTGGGAACTGCGTTGTTATCAGGATCGTTTTTTTTTTCCTTCTGGCGTTGGGACCAGCCGGCTGGGTGAAGGGATTTCGGGGATATAAAGCACTTGCACCTACGAAGGTGTAGGGTACTCTCCAGGATGCGCGTGATGTAGTCCAGCAGCCACCTGAAATACCTGTAACGGAGAAGTTTGTCGACGCCTGTCGCTCAGCTTGCGCGTCGGAGGTGAACCCCCGCCCAGTGGCTGCGGGCTGTTGGGACCCTCCTGCTGGGGGCTAATGGGCTGGGGTTCTTGTGTGCTGCGCAGGTGGCCATTGGAGCGAGAGAGACATGGCGACAGGAGGGGTCCCCTTTGACGACGACGGCGTCGATGACCAGGAGCTTCCCAACTGGAGCATCAGTAACGGGAGCCTGGATGACCGGCTGAACAATATGGTAAGCCTGAATAATGCATTTTCGCCAGATGATTTATTTATCACGCGCCTGACTTGGCCGTGGAAACCGCGGCCTGAGCTGACCCGTGTCGTCATGAAGGTTTTTCCTTTCAGCACAGTTGTACAGAGTACTGGTGTTCTCATTTGGTGGTTCATTCGGTCCCTTTTGACGTGTGTGTGTGTGAGGAACAAGAAGGTCAGGTGTGTAGTTTAGGCTGTGATGTATTGCTTATGTTGAAAGGACATTTCAGTTAAATGGTTTAGAATCCTGCTTTTAAGCCTGTTTAAGACTGATGTGTGACACAAGCTGTAGGTGTTTTGCTTTGCTGGATAGTAAATGTTAACGTAAAATAACTATTAACAGTGCCCAGACAGTTTACCTTCATTCATGTTACTTTGCTTTCTTTTAAGAATGTGCTGCACCTGCTATATATACACCTGCAAAGGCTTCACCTCGTCTTAGTGGAAGTGTTTGGTTACATTTCATAATTTATTAGTTCCTGTAATGTCTGTGTTATTGGAACTATTTTGGCATTCTCTAGGGTTCACCACCACATTTACTGCCATATAAATAACTCTCTGCCACCTTTGGTAATTATGGGGAAAAAAAAACATTTAAAATATTGTTACCTATGCAGTTTACTTTTGTTCCTAACTGGAGTTGCTGATTTGGTTCATTGATTGGTGTTGCTGAGTAAATCTTCTAATTGAATTAATAATGTATTATGTGCTATGCAGAGTTAATGGTTGTTACAAATTAAGGTATTGCTTTCCAATATCCAATTTTATGATGGTTATTCCAGGATCACGTTTAATACTTCTGTGAATAAGAATTAGATTTGTTTTTTGTACGTGTTTGTCTAGTCCATTGATTAAAAGGGCAAAACAAGTGAATGAAAGGTAGGAAAGTAGCATTTTGTTTTCTCTAATTCTACCTGACCATAAAACTGCTCCAGCTGGAGCCTTGTATTCAGACATTTGTAGCGCTGCAGAAGTACTTCATAGTTTGCCTTTTTTTAGACCTTGCATATATGTTCTTTATATTGATAAAAACAGTTAATAATCAAACTTTGTTCTGTTATCTAGAAGCTGAGACTAATGACGTTGAATACTTTTTAACGGTTAAAATATAACCACTGTAGCGACTCTTAAATGGTCTTGACTGACAAGGCTGCAGCCTCGCGGGCTGTTGCAGAACACAACTCTCATGAGCCGTAATGAATTTATTTCAGGCTCTAGATAATGTTTTACAGAGCTTGTGCTATTTGTATGTGTCGTACAAGTGGAGGCAGTCAGCCCACAATGGAGGTCTGCGTGTGAAAGGTGAAGATGTGTGTTGCTGCTGTTGATTAGGATGGCTCTGTTTGGCCTGTTACTTGCATCTTTATTTCAAACCAATGTTTTCCTTATAGGATTGGGGCGTGCAGCAGAAGAAAGCCAACAGGTCTTCGGAGAAGAACAAGAAGAAGTTGGGTGTTGCTGAAAGCCGGTTAACCAACGACATCTCGCCAGAGTCTACTCCTGGCGCTAGTCGGAGACGGGCAAGAACGCCCCACTCCTTCTCCCATGTGAAGTACGCCACCCAGATGTCTGTTCCTGAGCAAGCAGAGCTAGAGAGACTCAAGCAAAGGATCAATTTCACGGATTTGGATGAGGTGGGTGAAGCCGAATCGGAGGATTGGTAACTGTAAGAGGCGGAAATCCATTGTTCGCTTTTGATATTAGTAAAAGCGCTCGTTTGCATCATGACATAATGTCCTGGTAAGGCAGCTTTGAAAGACTTGAACAATTTGAGTTGATTCAGATTTTTTTTTTGTGTGTAGCTCTGTAGTAGTATTCTAACGGCGAGCTCTCGTTTCCAGAGGAGCATTGGGAGTGACTCGCAAGGCCGAGCCACAGCTGCAAACAACCAAAGGCAAGTCGCCGAGAACAAAAAAGCGTTCAACTTCTTGCCCCTGCACGTCAACACTAACAAGAGCAAGGAAGTCCCTGCCTCTGCTGGCAAAGACGGCAAAAGGCAGTCCCCAGGCAAAGACCCGTCTGCATCGGTTCTGAGCAAAGATCCGTTTCAGGGGGACCAGGGATCTCAAGCGGAAGATGGCAGGGGAGAGCCTGGAATGGACAGTAGTCAGGTAGGTTTTATCGTACTGGATTTTTAGTGTTTCTGTAAAAACGTTTTTTACATGAACAAAAAGACTAAAGAGGAACTTGGCACCTTATTGAACTTTTTCATTTTATAGAAGTTCAGATGGGTACCCAGGCAAAAAGCTTCAGTTTTTTAAATCAAAATACTGTTGTATTCAAAATGGCGGTTATGACGGATTTCTAAAGTTTTTGAGGAACCGAGTTCATTAAGTACGTCATTGCTCAGAGATGTCAGCGTGCTTGTATGTTTAAAGTTTATTTAAGCCTTTAAATCATATAGCCTATATATTAATTTAAACCTATATCCTATAGAACATCTATAGGATGTAATGCATATGGAGGGGAATGTGACAAGAAAGGCTGTGTAGATTTAGATTTACTTTTACTTTAGATTTACTTTAGATTTAGATTTACTTGCAAATTGAGTCCCTTATTCACATGACAGGCAGAGTTAAAAAATAAAATGTAATCAAAATCTCGTTCTGCTCACTTTAAGGTGCGTGTTGTAGGTGTGCTATTCTTTATAAAGATTTGCTTAAAATTCGTGTCCTAGTCTTGTTGCCCACAAATTGCAAATTAAAAATGGGTGTCTTTTAAAAAGGGGAATTGACTACTGGTTTTGGAATTTGGCCAGTGTAAATCGAAAGTTTTGATGCCCTAGGCTTTGTGCTTTATATATTTTCCTGTGGTTATGGGCAGAACAGACCTTTAATTTGGTAGGGAGTGGTTCAATGCAGTTTTAAGGTCTCATTGTGTGACCAGCCTTTGTTGGTGGTAACAAGATCTGGGAAGAAAACAATTGCTTGCTGTTGTAAAAGCTGTGTCTGTTACCACGCTCAATGTTGCTGTTCCTAAAGAAGTGATATTCTAGCAACAAAGGTGCTATACACAATCCAAGCTGGTTTTGTGTTCATGTAAACAAACACTGACCACAGATAAATTTTATTGGTGCTCAGAGGAATATTTGCATATGATGGAAAATTAAAAGTAACTGCTTCAGCTTCTTTTACTTGGGTTGTTTCATATGCTTCGAGCTGTGCTATATTCATAACTGTCACAATATGCCCATCTTAAGATAGACTAATGACTCCCTTCATGTTAAAATTGTTTTTGAATTGTCCACATTCATAAGGACAAGTCTGCATTTGTGAAGTTAAAAACCAAGTTGGAGAGGCCAGTGGTATCTTTTCCTGCTAACATTTAGAAACAAACGTTTATGCTCTGCTTCGATGTAACAGCCATAGTATATGCCTAACTGGTAACGTTGTAGTACTGCTGTGAGTTTCTGCATACCTGTTTTTTGGTACTTGATTGTTAACTTCTGACTGTGTGATCAGGACTGTTGACCGGTCGGTTTGTAACAAGTACTGATAGGAGCGCTTAGTGTTCTGTAGTACTAACCTCTTGTTTATTAAATATAGATGTGGTCAGCCCCTCACAAACATAATAGTGAAGCCCTGGAACAAAAAATGGAGTGGCCAGTTTCTTGAATTTAACATAAACTACATGTCTACTGGAATAGAGAAGGACCTGATTCACGAATTCTCGCTATTTAAATCTGCCTAAAATACTGCTTCAAGCTGAGCCATGAAACATGGTGACAAGTTTACAAATAGAAAACAAAGTGCAGTCATGGGCAATTAAAAAGGAAGCTTCTTCACGCAAAGCTTCAGATGTCTGGCTGCTGTGCTGTGCTGGTGGAGCTGGCGCTGCAGGCAGGATGTGATTCTAGTGTCACTGAGCATTTTGCAGACAAAATGGGATCTGCATTTGTGCTTAAATGTGACTCGTGTACATGCTTATGTAGACTGACTAACATGAATACATTGGGGAATGTCTCTGTGGTTCGAATCATCCACATCTTGTCAAGCAGCAATTATTGCCCACTGTTGACGTCTTTTAAAAAAGACTTAAGAGGAATCAGCTGATGTTTGCTGTTCAACAGTATCTTAGAGTACTATTACTTTGGGGTAAGTATGTATTAGTCTATGCCTTGTCAATATTGCAGAGTAAATGCCTAGATCTGTGGTGACCAACTCTGGGCCTCAGTTCTGTGGGGCTTTTAGGAACACGGAAAAGTTTCTTCTTGTCCAGTTAAGCAAATATGAAGTTCAGGTAGATGACTAAGGGCACAGGTGGAAAGAAGCTCTTCTGATCCTCTGTGACTGGAATTGTGCACTTGTGGCCTAGATTGTATCCATGCTGTAACTTCTCATTTTGAAAATATAAAAAGGCAAGTTATTGTAGAAAATAAGGATCATACTTAGCGATCAGCATTCAATGGAAAAGGGGGGAAAAAAGTTTAGTAACATTGAACACTGCAGTGCCCAGTGATTGTGTTGTAAAGCCACCTTTATTTGACTTTTCACTGTGAAATTCTTAACTTGCTCCTAATGCAGGAAATGACATGTTTGCAGGAAGCTACTTGGATTTTAAAGCAGTTATGACTTTCCTGTGCTTGTTTCTTCAATAAGATTTGAAGTTTTGTTTTGAAAGGTATATGCCAGTTTTTGGAGGTGGAGTGGAGGATGCTAAATTTACAAATACAAATGAAGCACAGAACTTAAGTGGTGATACAGAGCTGGTGAAATCTTGCGAACTATGCAAGTTACTTTTGGTAATCTAGCTGACACTGAACTAAAAATTTCAAACATTAAGTATCATGTGCTATTATAGTCCAAGATATTGAAATGTTGGTTTTAGTGGAATCCGTATATTGAATCCTGACATTGTTGTGCTAGATCTGCATCTGTATATCTACTCTATTTGTTATTGTGCTTGGTATGGGTGTGGTTATCTTGCAGAGAACTTGGTTTGTTTCTGGTGAAGCAGGCAATACGTCTGCTACCTGTACTGATGTAGCCAAGGTGCCTTCATAATGGGTGAGGAAAACCCAGTCAGTCTTCAGGAGGTTTTTGAGGTTCATGAAAATGTGACAAAATTATTTCCTGTAGTACCACTTTCACAGATTTTCATTAAGAAAAAGGTCGTTAGATTGTGAGAATCTTTTTCATCTGCATTTAGCACACACTAGCACAGGAGTTCATGCTAAGCAAAGTTTTTAAAGCTTGCGGCATTTATCTGTATATAGTTCTCAACCTTTCACATACATCTGAATTAAATCGGTTTTGCAGGTAATCTTTTAAGTACTAAAACTGGGGGAGAAACTGCAATAACTTGAAACACAGTTCTTATGTTTACCATTTTGAATTTGTTTCATAAGTTCAGTAATGCTACATATTTCCTTGCTTTTTACAGGTTGTCAGCAAGCTTGTTCAAATTAGGGAATATATTGCTAAGGCCAGCTCCATGCGAGATGACCTTGTGGAAAAAAATGAAATACCAGCAAATGTTGAGCGTTTATCGCATCTAATAGATCACCTAAAGCAACAGGAGAAATCCTACTTGAGATTTCTACAAAAGATATTGGTTAGTATAACGAGAGTGCTTTTCTTTTCCATCTTGCAAAAGAGAAATCTGGAGTTTTGTTATTTTTCCCCCGTTATAAATGCTTCGGAAAAGCTTTATGAACATAGTATGTCATTTCATTATGGCAAATAAGTTTCTTGTATGGCATTGAATAGCCCTCCTGAAATGTTATGATAAATTATATAATTCTCAAATCACTGTCAGTAAGTGATTAGTATTTCCGTTTAACTCCAAAGTAGTTATAATTGCTGGGGGTGTAATTTCAGTGTTTGCTCATGACTTAAGTCAATATAGTGTAGTTTCATAGAAATTTATTCCACAATGAACAGTTGTGGATGCTGTTGTCATCCAAGTCTGTTCTCCTCAAAAATGAACTTTCTGTTCCAAAACTGATCAAATGCCCCTTTTGCAAACTTATGCGTTCGGATTTTATCAGCTCTGCCTTTTGATGAAGTTGCGTTTATAGAAACTTAAATCTCGAACCCAACATTACAGGCGAGAGAGAATGACGAAGAGGACATTTGTACCATTGATTCAGCAGTGGGATCAGGCTCTGTGGCCGAGAGTACGTCTCTGAATATAGAACTTCATTCTGAGGCTTCGGATGCCACAGTAAGTTATTTAGATGTAATCAGCAGATAGAAATTAAGCGGTTGTGTAGCGCTTAAGCACTTTCATGGAGAATATTTTGACTTTAATTTTTTCAATGTTATCGACTTGTATCGCTGCTTATAAAAAATGTAAACTAAAGGTCTTTATTGTTACACAATTCTTGGATCCCGTTTTTTGTCCTTCAGCCATTTTAGTGGAGCTAGTAAAGAGTGGACCTAAATATCTTGTTAATCTGCATTTTAGGATCGAATTTTAAAACCGGTGCTCTGGTGTGGTGTGCCACGGTCCAGATGAAAAGTCATTTAATATTTTTTAACTGCATTTAACTCATTGATGGCAGTTAAAGTATTTTAGTGACACTTGTAACATTACCTTCATGATCTAACCATGATTGAACTATTGCAAAGGAGATCTCTCAAATACTGAAATATCGACCCCGCATTGAGGACAATCTAGGGAGTTCTGCCACACCAGTCCAGGTTTCAGACTTTGATGTTACTGCAACACGAAAAAGAGAGAGAGCTGCTCTGAATGGCAGTTGGCCTGATAGGATTAATAGCCGTCATCTTGGAAAGGTACCTCAACAATTGCCTTTGATATTGTAACAATTTCTTTCCCCTCTTGGTTGCTTCTTATTTCACATCTTCGTTTACTCTGGGCTTCAGCTAAGCGGATTACTGGTTTACACTGCTTTTTTGGGGGAGGGAGTTTTTAAGTGGAGAAAGTGTGATTTACATCAGCTTGCCGCTCATAGTGCTGCAGTTGCCTTAAATTTATTATAACGTTGGCATATTGGAGGATGACTTGTTCATATCGCATCCAAGGGTATACCTGTAACCACCTAGACATCTTTTTTAAAAAGGAAGTATTAACCTCGCTGGGCCGTTGCTTTTGCTTACTGATAGAAAACTGTTTGTGAAAAGTAAATTTACTTTTTATGTACTTTTGAATTGTTTAAAAGTTTGTTTTTTTTCCAAATGCTCGTGCCTTATGCAGTAAAAAGTAGGATTTATGCATACAATTCACAGCAGTCCATGAATCTACGTAACTGGATACTTGCTCGTCTTCTGTGATACATAGACAGTGGCTTTTGGATATTTGGGCGTTGTGATGAATTTATTTGGTTGATAGCTCTATACAGGGTGACTTAAGGTTTGCTAATATGTGCTCTTGACCCCCCTTGCTTGTAGGGTCGAGATCCTCACGGCGAAGCGAAGGAGGAGCTGGAGAACCTCCGGCGGCAGCACGACCTCCTGAAGAAGATGCTCCAGCAGCAGGAGCAGCTGAGGGCGCTGCAGGGGAGGCAGGCCGCCCTGCTGGCCATGCAGCACAATGCCGAGCAGGCCGGCGCCGGCGTGGACGATGCCGGTATGAGGCAGCGGCACCCTGTGCCTTCTCGTCCATTCAAAGGGCTTCCCCTGCGTCCTGTCTGAATCGCGCCGGAGAGTGCCCTCCACCTGACCGCAAGGGTTAGTGCTGCAGGAGCGCCAGTGGCGGGGGAGACCGGTCGGCCGGCGTAGCTTGTAGACTTGTGTGCTCTTGTGAAAGGGGCAAACACCCAGTCGGTATCCTTGCGGTCTTGTGCCCTTCATGTGCGCATCCCCGCTTAGCTCAGGTCTGCAAGGGCTCAGGGTGTCCCGTTTGTAAACTTGTTTCACAAGGACGCTCAGGGCCCCCCCAGAGCTCATAATATTTTAACTTGTTTTATGTAAAGAAAGTTTCATTAGTCTGCTTTAGATTCATATATTCTATGTACAAAGTATTCACATAAGACTAGTATTTCGTAACCCCATTTTGACTGATCAATGCACTAGGTAAAAAAATATCTAAGTAACGGTATTGGTGTTATTGCCACGTTTTCCTTGGTTTACTTTGCCGTTTTGAGTTGTGCGCTGAACATGTCATATCACTACTGTGGAGGGACAGATATAAGGGGACGTTCAATTTCATCAAACGGAGAGTGGAGAATGAACAGTTCTTTAAAATAATTCTCTGCTGGGGTGCTGGAAAAGAAGTGCGGAAACAGTAACAGAAACCTTTAATACTGTGAGCGGTAACCAGGGAGTGAGGTCATATGAGGGTGTCCCATTACCCTTTTTATAGCGGTGTGCCTTCGCGTCCTCGCACACAGTAAAGTAGACGGTTGCGTCGGGTCACAGGAAGTGTGAAACGTGGAGGAAGGGGTCAGGGCTTAGTGGGGCATTTGGGATACGGCCTCGGTGTTTGTCAAACGGTACTCCTTTATCAGTGCTGTCTTTTAGAGCACAGTTTAGTGAACACATTCTTCCTATTCAGTAGTGAGGATTACAGG